GGATCCGCGCCAAGGGAGGACTTGGAAAGTGGGTGAAACGGTGCACAAACAGACTGTTTGAGTGCGTCTTTATGAGCCTTCTTTTCAATGCTCCGTCTTTCTCGGTTTCCACTGACTCGAGGTGAATTTTCGGCATTTCTTGATTTCGGGAACCAGACCTAATATTATCCAAAACGCCCATTTACTATAATTATAATTATATAATTATAAAATATAGTAAATAAATTTCATATTTAGACGGGGTTAGGGTGGGAAAGGTCTGCCCCTAATAATTATAATAAACGCCTGGTCTTAATAGCGTCAGCAGTGCTTTTTACTTATTTTATTTAAAATAGTTAATTAATTATATTGTCAATTGTAATATTTTTAATATGTAAAAAGTCTATTGTTCTTTTCTGAGTTTTTTGCTTGAAAAAATAAATTGTGTTACCAAACTATTAAATTATAATTAACTATATCAACATTTGTGCTATTTGTTTTTAAATGAAAATATTAACTTTAATATGATTTTAATATATTTTACTATAGTTTGTAGTTTGAGAAAAACCCATAATAAATAAAAATACCAAACTACTTTCAATTAACATACTTCATAAAGATACAACGGGACACAAAAAGTAGATATGCCGCAACTATCGGAACTTGTTGTTCCGGCGAGTTGCGGCGTCGTAAATCCATCTCCAGAAGATACTAGACACAAAGAGGAGATGCCTGAAAAAAGAAACATCCAAGATGTCCTAATCGAGTGTTCGTTCCAGTGTTAGGTTTGAAGGGTAAAACCTGTTTTCTTTCCGTCTGTCCGACCCTTCAAAAAGGACAGATTTTGTTAAAAATTGTGTACATTAATCCAAGTTTAGGTGACGTGGCAAATTACAAATATGGCACATTTGGAGTCAATGTTGCAAAGTTTGAAACAAAACAAAAAAAATGACAAAAAAGTCAGTTAAGTTGGAAGACAACAACACTCTTTGGTGTAAAATTGTCATTGTCAGTCAACTCGTTGTATTTGGCGGTGTAAGTGGATGGGATGCAATGACTACCATTTTGACCTTTCTTGCTCACAAGTATATCATAATCACAACCGTATTTACCACAACCAAATACAAAGAGACATGAATTGTTTTGAGAATTCAGAACAAATTCACAATCGGGGTAATTTCCAGTCTTACCAAACTTCTTTGGATTCAAAGTGCCACTTCTCACAAGTGAAAAGATGTAAGAACTGCCACTGCTGATAAATTTGTTAACGGTATTAATACTACCAGTGTACACGCCACCAAACTTGTTGTGATTGGCGTCTTCTACCAAAAAGCACAAGTTGCTTTTGTTGATAACTTTTGTATCAAACACGGACGTGTTTTCTGACCAGTCGTCTTTATCCGAGTCAAACACAACATCCACGATTTTCATTCCCGTCAACTTCTCAAGACCGGCTTCTTCTTCAAGTGTGATGTGTTCGCGCTTCACTTTTTCGGCTTCTTCATCGTGTTGTTTTTTCGCATTGATGAATTTCTGTGATTTCATAATTTGATCAATTTTTGAGTTTTTTGCTTGGACAATTTTGTAGGTTTTGTCTTTAGATAGTTTTATGTCCATTTTGCACTTCTTTTCAAGAAGTGCAATTCTGAGATTGAAAATCTCATACAACTTCTCGTTGTCGCTTTCTGTTGAATACAGAGCCATTTCACTTTTGATTTTGTTTGACGCGTTATCCAAATCAGTTAAGATTGTGTTGAGTAAAGTTGTGATGTTCTTCTTTCTCTCAAATATCTCATCAAGTCTGTCGAAGTGTCCCTCTGCGTTTTCGATGCGTTGATCAATGTTAAGTGTATTGTTGTCAACAAAGTTGTATTCCTTTTTATTTTTGTTGAGGTCTGACACCGCCTTTGCTGCGTTAGTGCAGAGTGCCGAGAGTGCTGTTAACTCGTTTTCCATTGTATGTTAATACAGTTAATTTGTTTTTATATTTACTTTTTTATAAATCTCATTCAAAAACATCATTACCTCATTTATAATGATTTTTTTCTAAAGTCTGAAACCCAAAATAAAATATTAAAACTTACATAAATGATTTTAATTTCTATTAAAAATTATTCAAAATATGTAATTAAACTTAAAACCACAGAATTATAAATGTAATTTTTTAACTATTAAAGTAATAAAAAAATACATAAATATTGTTATAATTGCTAAATAATTATTTAACTATCAATATGACTAAAAGCAAACTCAATATTTGTTTTTTTAATAATTTTTATTTTTTAACTAAATATTGTTTATTTATATGTTGCCATTAAAAAGTTTAACAAAAATAACACATAAATAATGGTAAATGATTTTGATAAATCCTATAAATCCCTTATACATGGTTCGGTAAAAACTCCCTTTCAAGAAAAAAAGACTGAAATATCATTTTTTCGGCAAAATTGCTGTATGGTAAAGAAAGAAAAAATTTGTTACCTAAAAAATCGGGTTATTACGTAACAATAAAAATCTTCTCAAAATAGATGACAGTAAAAATAAATTTTTGGCAAAAAAATATAAATATTAAAATAAAATACTCGAAACCAAACAAACTATATATTATAAATTTTAAACTATTATTAATATATTAATAATAATAATATAATAATTCAAATTGAATTAAAATTTTAGTTTATTATTTTAAACTATAAAAATTACTTAAATTGAAAAAATAATTAAGTTTTTATAAAACTATCAAATAATTATAAATTATATTAAATATCTGACATAGTTATGTTATAATGTATCTATATTATTATAAAAAATATTCACAAATAATATATTAATATAAAATAATAATATTATAATATATAAGTATATATAATATATATCAGATAAATAAATATTAATTAAAATATATATAAGTTATAATAATTATAACAACAATAAATTATGATGTTAATCTTTATTTTAAAATTAAAGTTGATAGTTTAATACAATTTAAGTAGAAGTTGTTTTTTGATTTATATTTATGATTATTTAATTAATTAATTAATTAATATATTTTATTTGTTTATAGTTTATTTGACTTATTCAAAAATTATAACTTCAACTTAATAATTAATTATTTTTTTATATTTATTATTTGATTTTTATATTTAATAATTATATTAAAATATTATTATTAAAAATAGAAAAAACATTTTAATGATATTTAATAAGTTATAGACAAGTAATTTTTCTACAAGTCAAATTATTTTAACTTGTAGATATTTAATGTATTTTTATATAATAAAACTTGATAAAATCATATAAATAAACCCGTTTAATACAAAACATTTTATTAATATAATTTTATTGACATGAAGTTATATTTTTGACTTGAATTATACATATTTAAATAAAAAATAAAAATCAATTAAACAAATGAATGTTATTAATGAATTGAATGTGTTGCCAAATGAAAAAGATTTCAGTTATGTATATGTTCGTGCAATCTACAAAGATGTCAACTTTTCTTTTTGCCTTCATCATCACAAATGGTTGTTAAGCGAAAATGAAAAAGACCATTCTTCATACAAAGATAATCGAAAAATTCACCATAATAATTATGTTATCACTGATGAAGACCGTACTTTAATTGCTTTATTCAAAAAAGCGAATAACAAATCACACGAAATATTTTTATATTCAAAAGCCAACCCAACCATTAAAATTAACAAACATGATCTTTATGAAAGTTTCTTTAATGGTCCTGCTAAGATGCAAAAATACAAAACAAAATTTGATGTTTTTGATCAAAAACACGGAAAAGAAAAAATGAACCAAGTCACTACTATAAAAGACCAATATGTATCTACTGTTGTTTCTGATCAAACGAAAATATCTATTGAATCGGATACAGAAACTATTAGTTCTACAAATACACCTATACCATCGACAAATTTAAATGATATTAATAAAAATGACACTTTGAATAACGAAAGTGATGAGAGTGAAATTGACCAATTGTTGATGGATGAAATTTTGAGTGCTGAAAGATTCTTTGAAGAACATGAAAAACAGGTGCAGATTAGTACTGATAATAACGATGATGATGTTGAAGATGAACTATTAAATGCACATGAAATGTTCAAATATGTACCAGAAAACACTAAAAATCAATTATTGGAAGAGTTATACACCTTTGAAGACGGAGCGTTTCTTGTATACGATAGAATCGATTATAAAGAAATTGATATAGATGCAGTTTCAGAATCAATTAGAAGATTTTCTTATGATCATGACAACAATTTTGTAATAGAAAGATATATTGTTGCACTTGATTATTTATTTAGAAGAACGTGTAATATCACTAATATTAAAACACTTAAATCTGTCAAAGTTATGCAAAGAAAAGTATGTGATTATGTTATGAATGGGGAGATTGTTAAAGCTCGCCTGAGTGCTGAACAAATTCGAGCATTAAAACGATGTACATTGGTAAGTCACGCAACACTGAGTAGAGATTCACTCGAAAAAGCTAAAACGTTGGCATTAAGCTCGAGAACTGTTAACGCACAAATATTCAAAGCCAATGAAATAAAGAAAGAAAAACTTAAGGCCGAAAGTAGTGAATATAAATGTTTAGCAATTTCCATTGACTCAACTACGAAAAATGATCAAGAAATATTCTGTGTGATGTTAAGATTGGTCAAAGGAAGAAAGTGTT